AAACTGAAAAAGAGAGAACTCTTAAGAAAATGCTTGATCTTTATTGATTGTGTCAAAAATACAAGGCTGTAAGGGGACTTTATATAGAGTCCAAACAGCTATGCCCTTCTACGGGTCTTTGAAGCAAATTACAATAAATGCAGCTAAATTAAAGGGATTAAAAATGGCTAACAATTGCCTTAACTAATGGAAATTGAAAATTAAAAATAAATGCAAAGGAGATCAAGACAAACAAAGAAAGTTAGTCAAACAATATAATGAATTCAGTCTTACATTTGAACTTAATTGTAGGAATTTGTTTGACTTGCTGGAGGGGATGAACCTGGACGCCTTTAAGTTGGGAGAATGGTGAATAAGGAGACTTCAGGCCCATACTTGATAAGTGACCATTCTTTTATGTTGCTTCTTGGGCCGTCCTTGATGAAATGATCCTCTTCTTGATATGGTTTGGCTTGCACTTCGGTTGGACCTTGATCTTTGGAGATGGTCAACTTCGTCAGCTGCTCGGTTATGTCCCGAACCTCGTGATCTGCAAGTAATGTCTCTACAGCTTGGTTGAAGTTCTCCCTAAGCCTCTTAGCTCCTGCTCTAGTCAAGGGTGGGACGTTCATAGCTGGAACAAGGGTGGTTGGTGGAATGCTGGTACTTGGGATCACATCATCCTCTCCCTCTTGTAAAGGTTCTGTCCTCATAACTGTTTCATCTGCATCATAAGGGGATAAGTCAGATACATTAAAGGTTGTGAAAATGTTAAACTCACCTGGAAGATCAATCTGGTAGGCGTTGTCATTGATCTTTTTAACCACTTTGAATGGTCTGTCTCCTCTGGGTGCTAGCTTGGACTTCCTTTGGTGTGGAAACCTTTCGGTTCTCATGTGTAGCCAGACCCAATCTCCTGGTGCAAAGCTGACTTCCTTATGACCCTTGTTCACACGTTTTGTGGTCTGCTCGTTTCTCCTCTCCATGTGTTCCTTGGCCTTTTGGTGTAGCTTCTTAACAAACTCGGCCTTGGCTTCACCGTCTTGGCTGATTTGTTCCTTATGTGGTAGTGGCACGAAATCCAAAGGAGTGTTAGGCTTAAAACCATACACAAGCTCAAAAGGGGAGAATTTAGTAGTAGAGTGTGTTGTGCGGTTATAAGCAAATTCAATGAAAGGAAGACACTCAAGCCAATTTCGTAAGTTGTTACCGACTGTGGCCCTTAAGAGGGTGGATAGGGTGCAGTTCACAACTTTAGTCTGTCCATCCGTCTGGGGGTGGCAAGTGGTAGAAAAGAGAAGCTTAGTCCCAAGCTTTCTCCACAAAGTCTTCCAGAAGTGGCTTGAGAACTTGGTGTCCCAGTCTGAGACGATAGTCCTTGGCAATCCGTGAATTCTGACAATCTCCCTGAAAAATAGATCAGCAATCTGGGTTGCATCGTTGGTCTTGTTGCAAGGAATGAAGTGTGCCATCTTGGAGAACCGGTCTACTACCACAAAAATAGAGTCCTTGTCTCTTATCTTAGGCAGTCCTAAAACAAAATCCATAGACACATCTACCCAAGGTAGGTTAGGAATTGGTAAGGGAATATAAAGTCCATGAGGGTGCAACCTGGATTTTGCCTTTAGGCAGATGATGCATTTAGAGCAGAATCATTCCTCATCTCTTTTCAGGTGTGACCAGTAGAAGTGCTCATCAACAATGCTCTTGGTCTTTTGCACTCCAAAGTGTCCCATAAGGCCGCCTCCATGGGCTTCCCTAAGGATCAACTCTCGCATCGAACTCTGCGGAATGCACAATCTTTTGTCCCTGAAAAGAAAACCATCATGTTTATAGTGAGGACCAATAGCACCTTTTGTGCATTGCTGGTAGAGCTCTCCAAAGTCTGGGTCGTTGCCATATAGCTCCTTGAGATGCTCAAAACCCATGATCTAGGCCTCCATGGTGGAAATCAGGGCATGCCTCCGGGATAAGGCATCAGCTACAATATTCTCCTTGTCCTTCTTGTACTTGATCACGTATGGGAAGGTCTCCACAAACTCGAGCCATTTTGCATGTCGTTTCTTCAGTGTGGTCTGGCCTCTTAGGTATTTGAGCGTTTCATGGTCGGTATGGATGACAAACTCCTTAGAAAGAAGGTAGTGCTGCCTTGTCTCCAAAGACCTTACTAGGGCGTAGAGCTCCTTGTCATAGGTGGGGTAGTTGAGTGCAGCTCTATTCAGCTTCTCGTTGAAGAAGGCAACCGGTTTCCCTCCTTGAGTTAGGACAGCTCCAATACCTGTACCTGAAGCATCACATTCAACTTCAAAAGTTTTGTGAAAGTTAGGTAAAACTAAGACAGGTGCATGGGTAAGGCTATCTTTAAGCTTTTGAAAAGCTTCTTCCTGTTTTGGCCCCCAAGTGAAAGCAACATTCTTCTTGATCACTGCAGTTAAAGGAGTAGCAATGGTACTGAAGTCCTTGGTAAAGCGCCGGTAAAAGCTTGCTAAGCCGTGAAAACTCCGAACATGACCAATGGTGGTTAGCGTGGGCCAGTCTTGTATGGCTTTGATTTTCTCTTCATCCACCTTTAGACCCTGTGAACTAACAACAAAGCCTAAAAATACCAATTGATCAGTGCAGAAAACACATTTTTTGAGATTAGCATATAAATGTTTTAGCCTTAAAGTTTCTAAAACTTTCTCAAGATGATTAAGGTGTTCATCCAAGCTAGTGATGTATACTAGAATATCATCAAAATACACAACAACAAACTTACAGATGTAGGCTCTTAAAACGTGGTTCATGAGCCTCATGAAGGTGCTTGGTGCATTGGTGAGGCCAAACGGCATGACCAGCCACTCATATAGACCTCTCTTGGTCTTGAATGCTGTCTTCCACTCATCACCTTCCTTCATTCTGTCTTGGTGGTAGCCACTCTTAAGGTCTATCTTTGAAAAGATGGTGGCGCCACTGAGCTCATCCAACATGTTATCCAATCTTGGAATGGGATGCCGATATTTGACGGTAATGTTGTTGATGGCCCTGCAATCTACGCACATTCTCCATGTGCCATCTTTCTTGGGTATCAATAGGACTGGTACTGCACAAGGACTAAGGCTCTCACGGATATAGCCTTTGCTCATCAGGTCTTGAACTTGCTTCTCTAGTTCCTTAGCTTCCTCGGGATTGACTCTATAGGCTGGTCGGTTGGGTAGTGGGGCTCCGGGTACAAGGTCAATCTGATGCTCAATTCCTCGGATAGGTGGTAATCCGAAGGGAATGTCTTCAGGAAAAACGTCCTTCAAGTCTGCTAACAGCTTAAGTACTTCTTCTGGTTGCTTGTCCTCTTCGGATCCTGAAAAATACCCTTCTCTAAAGACCATTAGTAGCACCTGCTCTTTCATTTCTATTGATTTTATAACTTTGGCAGGTGAAACATAAAGACTGGTCTACTTACCTCGGTTCCTCTTGACATTGCCTTTTGCAGTTCATGTACTTCTTGAGGGGTGAGGGGTGCTAGGTTATGCTTACGTTTGTTATGGATGAAGCTGTAGTAGTTAGTCCGCCCATTATGCATGGTCTCTTTATCAAATTGCCACGGCCTCCCTAGTAAGAGATGTCCGGCTTGCATGGGAACAACGTCACACACTACAGTGTCTGTGTAATTGCCTATTTGGAATGACACCGTGACTTGTTCAGCTATCTTGAGCTCAGTTTCATCGTTAAGCCATCTCAGCTTGTAAGGATGAGGATGCTTGGTCTTTTCTAGCCCTAGCTTATCAACCAAATACTTGCTAGCCACATTAGTGCAAGAACCACCATCAATAATTAAACTACATACCTTGGAGTTTATGGTGCATCTAGAGTGAAAGATGTTTTCCCTTTGGATGGTCTCAGCATCAAAGAGTGCACTAAGAGCTCTCCTAACAACAAGTATTTCTCCTACTTCAGGATAGTTGATGATATCATCATCGGAGTGTTCTAACTCTTCTGCTTCTCCTTCATCTTGGGACTCATACTCTCCATTTGCTTTGAGGATCATGACCCTTTGATTGGGACAATCTCTTGCATAGTATCCCTTTCCCTTACATTTAAAACAAGAAATGTCACGAGTTCTAGTAATTTGTTGAGTTTGGGACTTACCTTGCTCTGGCTTGAAGGCTGGCTTCTTGAACCTGGAATCTGTCTCAATAGACTTCCCTTTGTCTAGGTCGCGTTGAGGAGTCCAAGTGGTCTTGGTCCGGTTGGTGGAGGCTATCTTCCTCTTGATATGTTGCTCAGCTTGGATAGCTAAGTGCAGTAGCTCCTCCAAGTCATGGTAGCATTGCCTTTCTACTTTTCTGGCAATCCTATCTTGCAGCCCATCCAGAAACTGCGCCATTTGAGTCTCTGGTGTATCCTCAACTTCTAGTCTATTTTTAAGACTTTCGAACACTTCAAAATACTCTTCCACCGATTTGCTCCCTTGAGACAATTTGCAGAATTTCCTTTGTATATCCCGGTGGTAATGAGCTGGAACATATCTCTTCCTTAGGCTGAACCGCATATCCCTCCAGGTGTTGATCTGGGGGTGTCGATGTCTTCGCCTATCTGAAACATCTCTGTCCCACCAAGCAAGAGCATTATCAGTAAGTTGGGCAGCAGCAAGTGATACTTTTCTTACTTTGGAATATTGGTAGTATTCGAAGATGTGTTCCATTCGCCTCTCCCAATCAAGGTAGGCATCTGGGTTGATCTTCCCAGCAAAAGTTGGGGCAGTCAACTTGATATCTCGGCTTCCTCCTCGATCATAGTCATCACCTCGGTTTCTATCCCTTTGGGGCGGGTCTCGGCGGTTGTGGATACCATTAGGCTCGGGTGGTACTTGATGTTGTGGAGGGGGATCATCTTCTAGATCAGGCATGCTCTCTTCATCTTCTTCATGTTCCCTTTGATTCTGAGCACCTTGGGCACGATTCCTGCGTGGTCGCCGGTCATACCGATCCATGCGAGTGCCAAGGAGTTCCATAGAAGCTTGCAGATTGGCAAGAACTTGGGCGATGTCGGTTAGGGTTGGAGCGTCTTCCATTGCTTGTTCCAGTTGGTACCTGAAATAAATAAACTAAGTGCATGAATGTGTTCTAAATAAATAAGAAAGAAAGATAATATGCTTGGACCAATAATTTATATATTTTTTTAAATAGAATAAGATTTTGAAAAGCTAACAAACAGAAATTTTTTTGTGCTTTTAATTTATATGAATCAAACAGAAACAAAGCAAGAACAATAAGAACAGGTTTGAAAACTTTTTTTTTTTTAATCAAGAACGAAGAACAATAAGAACAAGTTGAAAACTTTTTTTTTTTTTGAGTTTTTTCTGGAAAAATGAAGAACACAAACGAAAATACAAAGATAAAGGATAGATAAAACCTGGGTTTAGGAGCTTTTAAGCTCTGATACCAGATGATACGATCCTCAAAGGTTGAGGCTCGTTTTGGTGGAAGATGGAGGCTGAAAGCTGGACTAAAGTCACTCTCTTTCAACCGGTCGGATGGAGGATGAACGAAGTGGAAAGATGGCGCCTGTTCAAGGGACTAAGTCACTCATCTAGAAGGCTGGTCGGATGATAATGAGTAGAAGGTGGATCGATGGTCGCCACAATGCCTGATGGAAGGAGGCAATGATGAGACAAAGTTAAACTGGGCAGAAATCACAAATGCCTAGAAAAACTGAAGAAGAGAGAACTCTTAAGAAAATGCTTGATCTTTATTGATTGTGTCAAAAATACAAGGCTATGAGGGGACTTTATATAGATTCCAAACAGCTATGCCCTTCTAGGGGTCTTTGAAGCAAATTACAATAAATGCAACTAAATTAAAAGGATTGAAAATGGCTAACAATTGCCTTAACTAATGGAAATTGAAAATTAAGAATAAATACAAAGGAGATCAAGACACACAAAGAAAGTTAGTCAAGCAATATAATGAATTCAGTCTTACCTTTGAACTGATTTGTAGGGATTTGTTTAACTTGCTGGAGGGGATGAACCTGGACGCCTTTAGGTTGGGAGAATGGTGAATAAGGAGACTTCAGGCCCATACTTGATAAGTGGCCATTCTTCTATGTTGCTTCTTGGGCCGTCCTTGATGAAATGATCCTCTTCTTGATATGGTTTGACTTGCACTTCGGTTGGACCTTGATCTTGGGAGATGGTCAACTTCGTCAGCTGCTCGGTTATGTCCCGAACCTCGTGATCTGCAAGTAATATCTCTACAGCTTGGTTGAAGTTCTCCCTAAGCCTCTTAGCTCCTGCTCTAGTCAAGGGTGGGACGTTCATAGCTGGAACAAGGGTGGTTGGTGGAATGCTGGTACTTGGGATCACATCAATTTTCCTCCCCTCTTCAGAGTTTGGATTAAGGAATGCATCACATCACCGAGGTTCTCAATATCAATTAATGGTGAGTTAGCTGGTTTTTTTCCCGGCCGAAAGGGTTTCCGTCAAGGGGACTCTATCTCGCCTTATCTGTTTATCATGGTGATGGAAGCTCTATCTAAGCTGTTAGAGAATGATGTGGATCAAGGGAGGCTCAGACTGCACCCCAACTGCCCCAACCCGAGAATTATGCATCTGCTGTTCGCCGATGACTTGCTGGTGTTTTCCGATGGCTCTCGTCACTCCATATCGGAATTAAGGAGGTCATGCAAACCTTTAAAGCCATAAGTGGACTGGATACAAATCCTACCAAGTCTGAAATCTACTTTGGTGGCTATGATGAGCTCCAAGCGGCAGTCCTCAGTGGCATATCTGGTTTCAAGCTTGGGGTTTTCCCAACAAGGTACTTGGGTCTTCCTCTTAACCCGAAAAGGATAACGATGGCCACTCTCCAACCTTTTTGTCGAGAAAGTAATTAGAAAGCTTCACTCTTGGACGGTGAAGCTCCTCTCCTTTGCTGGAAAGATAAGTCTTATCTCCTCTGTCATATATGGTATTGTAAATTTCTGGAGTTCAGTTTTTTCTCTGCCAAAGCAGTTCTATGCGAAGATCGATGCTTTATGTGCTGCTTTCTTGTGGAACAAAAAAACCAGCTCCGCGAGAGGAGCTAGAGTGGCTTGGCGTGACATATGTAAGCCGAAAGTTGAGGGGGGTCTTGGAATTCGGTTGTTATATGACTTTGAGCAGGTTTTCAGGCTCAAACAAATCTGGAATCTCTTCACGAATGCTGGATCTCTCTGGGTGGCGTGGTTAGATGCGCATGTCTTCGGCAGGAATGGTTTCTGGTTAACTGAGGATGCAACGCGCTTCTCCAAACCCGTTAGGAGTATGTTACAGCTAAAGCATGTATTGGTGGATCTTCTGCGTTGTGCAGTTGGAAATGGAGAGACAGCTTCATTCTGGTATGATTCTTGGAATGATATGGGCAAATTAATCAATGTCTTTGGGATGGGCGGGCCATGCCACCTTCAAATCCCAAGGGAAGCTACAGTTAAGGAGGCTACAAGGAATGGAAGTTGGTATTTACCTCCGGCGAGGTCAAGGAAGCAGAAACGCTGCAAATCGTTTTATCAACGATAGATCCCCCAAATGTCTCAAGGGGGCCGGACGTCTATCTCTGGCGAAATGCATCGGGCTTGTTTGTTACAGAGTTCTCCTCTAAGGCAACTTGGAACTTTTTACGGACCAGATCTCTTCAGGTGAACTGGAGCTCAGTTATATGGTTTAAAGAGGCTATCCCTCGCTGCTCTTTCATTGTGTGGTTGGCTTTGCTGGCGAGATTGCCAACGAGGGACAGACTTCGAAGATGGGGTATAATGGTTCCTGGCGAATGTGTCCTGTGCTCGCAAGAGCCGGAAACCCTTGATCATCTGTTCTTTGGTTGCTCGTTCTCCTCTGGAATTTGGGGTGCTTTCTCTGCGGGCCTAGGCCTACAGCCTTCCCAATCTCTCCTCTCGGTGGCTGGATCAATCTCAGGGACCCCGGCTCTCTGTGGCTCGGCAAAAGGGGTCCTTGCAAGGCTGCTCTTTCAGGTAAGCATCTAACAATTATGGAAGGAACGCAACAGTCGAATCTTCACCTCCACCTTTGCTTCAATGGCATCCACCAAATCGGTGATTGATAGGACTATCAGAGATTGTCTTTTCTCATTCCCGGCGGCAAATGTAAGCTCTCCTTCGCTTCTCGAGTTGTATTTTCTGCTTCTCTCCCCTGCTATGTAAAATCTTAGTCCATGCCTTTAATCTTTCTCTTGTTGTTTGTAATAAGTTGTTCAACAACAACATTGTTCTCTCGAAAAAGGTATAAATCTTAACATTCATACCAAAAAAAAAAAAATTATAAAAGTCAATGCATGTTTACACAATTCCTATACCCGTATATACAATATTATTTAATGCATGCACACATAAAAATATATAGATATAAACATGGCAAGGATAAGTCCAACATATGATTATAAAATATGCCCACGTGAAAAAATATTCCAAAGCTTCTAATATATCCTTGAAACATTAGCTCATAGTCTATCCTTTCAAAACTTAGATACACAAAACATTCATACATTACATACATGTATATGTTTTTTATTAGTTTTAATCATCAAAGCTACGTTCTTACGTACGTATCTCTTAATCAAAACCTTAACGCCCCAACGCGCTTAAGCATTGGAACAAGACAGCGATTGAGATGAAGACTCATAACTTGATTGGCTCCACCTACGAGCTGCCCTCCTATGAACACCACCAGCACAGTCTGGCTGCAGCCAAGCTGAGCCAATGCTTGCTCTATCTCCTTTCCTCTATTGATCTCGTCTAGCTCATAGATCGTTGGGTCACACCAAAATCTAAGAAGAAAGTCTTAATTGTGTGAGCCATGCAGCACGAGTTCTTGCTAAAGATCATTACCGATTTCTCGGAGATCATCTGTAGCTTATCCATAAGTGTTATATTCTGAATTTTTGTTTTCCGAAAGCGGATTGCAAATGAGGAAAAGTGGTGCCTTGGAATCAAAATGGTAGATTAAGGATGAAAACTGACAAGCTAGAGAACTAATAGAGAGGTTGTGATATCTTTGAGTGAAGATGAGAAGTGACTTTGAGTCGATGTTTTTGATGAAGTTAAATGGTCTATGAGGGGTTTAAGATAGCTTTCTAAGGTACGTAAGCTTTCATATTACGGATTTGAATTTCAAGGACCTTTTTATACGAGAGTCGACTTTAACTTTTCTGACTCTTGCAGCTAGAGAATAAAAAGTGTATCTATCAATTTATTGGGTTAAACGTACAGATAACAAAATCTCTTAGATTAGATGTGAGGTATATTTGATACGGACGAGCCATGTCATATCTTGTTTAGTACGATTTCTCTTGTTAATTTTTCAGTCTCAAATGACATATTTATCATAGATACAATTTTTTCTTCTGTCACCCAGCTATTATTATATGGATTCAGCTGACCATGAAGACCCCATAATCAATCTATAAGAGCTAAGACAACTCTCAAAACGTGATACACAATATTCCTTATATGACCAGGTCATTCATTCACATGTTTAAGAGCTTCATCAACTCCACCAATAATGCTTTGTCTTTTATTGTTTTAATTCTTGATTTCTCTTTATTTGCTTGATTTGTTTTTCTTATTACTGCTTTGAACGTTGTATTAAAGGTATAAAAGTCTTCTTTTGCTTCGTGTTACGATCACACATTTTTTTTATATATAGTAAACTATTCCGTTTTCTATCTTCAAAATATTTTTTTTCTTTAATTTATTGTTTTTGCAATCTAGTAATTTGTGTATGGATTCTTCAAATTAGTTTTGTGTTTGTGTCTTGAATCCTTGTGAGGAGTGAACCCTTGGATGAAGTCACGTACCTTGGTGTATTAGGAGGTTGAATCACGAATCTGTTTCCGCTCAACCATCATCCCATTCTACAAGTGTTAAACTCTTGAAAGCTTAGGTTTCCTTATATCATTATGGTATCAGAGCACATACACTTCTATTTAGGTATTTTCAATTCCCTTCTCTATCATTTTATTTTTGATTTCTGATTATTTTAAAATCATTTATAAAGACAATATATATATATATATACACGTACTTTATTCTTAAAATTTTGTTTTAATTAAGTGTTATTATTAAAGGTGCGTTTTCCCCTTTATTATTTATCTTAAAACTCCAATTTTTTATTATTATATTGATGGAAGAATATCCAGCCTTTTTGGATTTCTCCCTCTTGCGCTCTTAATTAGAAATTTCTCTATGTGCAAATGGCTGCCAAACTATAAGTGATAACTCTTCCTTTTGTATTTCAACATGTATTTAAAATACTTCCAAGAAGATGATAACTTGTCGGTGATACTAGACACTTGGATTCATCCATCTTCATGTTGTGTTGGGCAAATTACCCTAGGAAGCGAGGCAATTCATTGTATTGCTCTATAACCGGTTTAGAATCAGACATCTTGTAATTATTAAAATTACTCACAAAGAACTTCTTACTTGAAGCATACTCTGCCATGTACTTTGATTCTAACGCATCCCATAACTCTTTTGCGGATTCAACATTTTGATAAACATCAAAGAGTGGATCTGACATATCATTTAGAATGTGGCCACGATATATATGATCGTTGTTTTCCCATTTAAGTTGCTTTTTTGTCTCCTCTGCAGACTCGTTCTCAGCAGCCTCTGATATAGTAGGCATTGGCATGCTTAGAATGTACACTATGTTAAGTGTTGTGAGGAGAAGATTCATCTTCTTCTGCAATCTTCAAAAATCTACTCTCTCAAACTTATCCAGTTTTCCAAACATGAATGTCATCTCTCGCACAGACACACTAGCCATAGTTCACAAGAAAATATTCTTTAAGACTGTTAGATTCTGGTGATTCTGGTAACTTGAATAATGAATTGTTAACTTGGATAATGATTGAATCGTGCACAATGACACTTTTCTTAAAGAGTATTTCGACCATTATCAAGCTTTGGGTTACACGAAATTCTTTGTAGGATAAGACAACCAAAATTCTATGTTGTTCTAAGCTAAGATACAAGAGACACACTAGATTTCTAGTATTGATATGTATTTCAAATATCTTTTATGATCTTTTAGAACAGTGAAACTCTCTCCTTCTTTCTTTCTTATTTTCTTTGTTTCTGTTTGCTTTCTGATTGTTGTTTTTCTTTTTGGCAATGCCCACAACTCATTTTATAGGAAACCAAAGGTCACTTCAAAAGGTTACAATGGTTGATCAGATTGCAATGGTTGATCACCAACATTTGCAATGGTTAGTCATTGAAGATTGTAACAATGAACTCAATAGTTGCAATGGTTAATCACTGAAGGTTGTAACCATCAACCCAACAGTTGCAATGATTTATTTAAATAGTTGCACATATTTATTTAAGCAGTTGCAATAGTTCATCAACGGTTGCACTGATTTACTTAAATTTTCAACATTCCTCCCCCATTTTAGTGCAATCAAATAAATAACACATATTCAAACTTATGCATACATGAAAATGACGTAACGATTGAATTTTCATCTTAGTGATATTACACATTCCAAATGCCCGAGAATCAGGATGTCCTATGGATTGAATCCTCTCAACTCATTTGGGCACATAAGGATAATATACACACATAAATTTCCACACTACGTTAAGTGTATATATCTGACACTATTATAAGCCATGTGACCCTATCCATTCATGAGCGCCTACAAAGCTAAGTCCTAGCTTCTTGAGCGGCTGCATTTCACACTCATATAGGTAACTATTTTAATCGTGCACCTGCAAAATACACCTTTTCAAAAATATCTATTGAGAAAAAAACTTCAACTTATCTCTTTCTTGCAGGTCCAAGCACATACATTGGGATGATATGAGCATGTGCTTCAATCTTTGAGTGTGGGCTTTCCACATTGAATTCAGCCTCTAACGTCGTATAAGAGGGAAATTGGGTATCCCATCACTAAAGATTTCAAATGAACTTTAACCATATCCCTTTAGCCGACTTAAATACTAAGTCCCTACCCAATCTTTTTGTCAAGTGATCCGCTAGATTTTGTTGAGACCGAACAAATTCGATTGTAATCACCCCATGAGTGATCATGAGGTGACATGTTGCAACCGAGCCTTACCTAAGTGCTGATTTCTCCGCCTAGGCCTACCAGCAACTCCCTACCTAATTGTTCCCGGGTAGTTAGCAGGATTTCCAAGCCAGAAGCATGCTGTACCACCCTACCTATTCCCGCTATTCGCCGCACCGATGGAACATGTCAAGAAGAAGGGAGTATAAAGGGGAGTGAAGGCCAAAGGGAAAAGGGGGACGAGAGAGAATCCGTAAAATATCCGGAATTCGACTGGAGAGATCGGAGACTAGTTATAGAGGGAGAATACACCAGAATCAAGAGAAAAAAAGAGGGGGAGAGGCTTCTAATCTCCACCTCGCCGGAGCCCGCCATGGTCCCGTTCAGACAGTAAGACTGAACGGGGTACGTTCACCATTTCCCGGAAAGAAGGCTAGCCGAGGTAAGCATCCCATTCTCGTTCTATGCTTCACCATATTCCCATATAGAGAGAGTTCATACCCCGCTCTCTTCACAGTTCATTCATTATGCTTTCACCCTCACCAAACATCAACGAGTATCACGATCCTCGGATGGGATGCCCAAACTATGAACACCACCACATATGTACCCTCCCGAGTTTCTGATTTCAGTAGTACATACATTTACTTGAGCGTCAGAGAAATTTCGAGAAAAAACTCCTTTTCGGTCTTCCCAGAGGCCCAACTTACTCGTTTGCCAGTATATGCATGACCTATTCAGACTTTCACCCGGAACCACATACTGTTCATCCCATATAGGAGGAAACTCGGAGACTCAGCTCTGCTATCCGGATAATCACACATCCCATGTAAACATTCTGTAATTTGATCATCTTCCCAGATAATGAAATTCAGAGACTCAGCTCCGCTATCCAAACAATCACACACTTCATGTAAGCATTCTGTAATTTACTTCCAAACGATATCATATTTTAAGTAAATAGTCTAAATAATAAATTTTTATGTTGAATATTTTTTAAATTATGAATTTATGTTGGACTCGATTATATTAGAGCATTTTTGGGTTTATTTCTCCAATGATAAAACTTTAAATACAACAAAAAGTTTATATTTTTTCTTCAATATTAAATATATTTATATTATCTAT